ACAGCCTCCAAAGCCACAGAGAAACCCTATCTCGAAAAACAAAACAAAAAAGATAGTGGTTCATGATGTAACTCAGGCTAACCTAAAACATTAGTATCCCAGGCTGGCCTGGGACCCACTGCAGTCCTCCTGCCTCAAGTTTCCTAAGTGCCATTCTGTTCTTTCTGACCAACTTGAGCAGATGTGGTCCTAGGTTTTCAGTCAGTGAACTGTTGGGTTAGTCCAAATGTTTCTTGCTCCTTGGAGCCCATTTAACTTGCTGAAACCTTCACAGAGTGACCTCCTTAGGATAAGCAGAATTTTCTCTCAGGCCCTCGGGTGTGACAGCCATAGGCTATCCCCAATGCCTGGAAAAGGCTTTATTTTATCTCCACCTTGGTGGCTCTGCCCGATGCTGTTTTCTTTTTCCAGCGCTGGTGACTGAGCTCAGAGCCTAGCACTTGCTAGTTAGTCAAAACTAGCACCGTGCCACACCTCCCAGCCATCTGGTGTGTGTGTATGAGAGAGAGAGAGAGAGATAGGTACCCATAGCGGCCAGAAGCATTTGATCCTCTAGAGATGTGGTTACAAGCAGTTGTGAGCTGCCTGGTGTGAAGGCTGGGAATAGAACTCTGGTCCCAGTATAGGTTGAGTCATCATGTCTCCAACCCATCCCCTGGAATTTTTTGAGACAGGGTCACAGAACTTGAAGTTCATGGACTGGCCTGCAAGCCCCTAGTATCTGCCCCTCCCACCAGACACTTGCTGCCATGTCCAGCTTTAAGGATTGAATCTTATTTATTCTCTGGGACTGTGTGAGCCACAGCACACATGTGAAGGTCAGAACAACTTGCAAGAGTTGGTTCACTCCTTCCACCACATGGGTCCTGGTATCCTGGACCGCAGGTGCCTTTCTCCACTGAGTGTCTCGCTAGCCCTCACACCTGCCTCTCTGGATGTGCTGGGATCTCAGTTCAGGTCCTCAAGCTTGCACAGCAGCCACTGTACTGACCGAGCATCGCCCCAGCCCCTGGGGTCAGTTTTGTCTCTTTTTTTTTTTTTACATTTATGGTGAGGCACTTGTATCATAGTTCACATGTGACATCAGAGGACAACTTTTGTCCCAGGGATTGAAGTCAGACTGCCAGGTTTCGCAGCAAAGGCCTTTACACCCTAAGCCATGCTCGCCAACCCCAGCAATCTGTCAAGGTCTACTGTAGCTGATGGGAGTGTGTGTTGCCAGTTAATCCTTTGAGTAGAACACTGCTGTAGCTTTCACAGTCTTGGTAATTTAAAGCTGGGCAAGAAAGAATATAATTGTAAATTTTTTTTGTTTTTGTTTTTCAAGACAGGGTTTCTCTGTGGCTTTGGAGGCTGTCCTGGAACTGGCTCTGGTAGCCCAGGCTGGCCTCGACCTCATACAGATCCCCCTGCCTCTGCCTCTGCCTCCCGAGTGCTGGGATTAAAGGTGTGCGCTACCAACGCCTGGCTGTAAACCTATTTTTGTTTGTGATTTTGTATTTAGGGGGCAGACCTCTCTGTAGTCCATCTCTTATCTCCTGATTTTCCTACCCAGCTCTTGGCTTCCCTGTTCCCTCTTGTTCTGTCAAATTGTCTAGCGTGTGCCATTCTCCTGTAGTCAGACTGTCTAGTGGACATCACTCCTGCTCTGCCCTGGCTGTCTAGTGGACAGTTATTCTTCCTGGTTGATGCTTTTCCTCCTGCTTTCCACTTAAGATTCTTTTTACTGGGACGATATGGAGACAAGTTCTTGCTCTGTAGCAGACCAGGCTGGCCCTAAAACTCAATGTGTAGCTCAGGTTACTCAGGTGATCCTACCACCCTGAGTGCTGTAATCCCAGGTGTGCAATTTCAAGCAATCAAACCACGCCTGCTTTCGCTGACACTCACTTTTTGTGTCTTTGCTCTGTGCTCTGTTTCACTTTATCTTCTACAAATACTTCGCTTTGCCATTCATCCTTTAAAGCAGTTCTTCTAATCCTTTTCAATTTATTGAGGATTATGAGACCACGCTCTCTCCTGGTGAGGATTCTTTCTTTTCTTTTGGTTTTATGAAGACAGGGTTTCTGTGTAGCCCTGGCTGTCCTGGAACTCACTCTGTACACCAGGCTGGCCTCTAACTCACAAAGATCCATCTGTCTCCGCCTCCCAAGCACATAGCTCTGCCTGGTTCCTCATGACAGAATCACACTGTTAGTTTTTATGGGGTGACATAGTTTTCTAAGCTGAGTAAGCTGCTGGATGGTGTGGCCCAGATCTCCTGTATGAGGTGGGGTTCTCCAAGAAACAAACCCAGAGTACATATGGGGTGTAGAGAGAGACAAGTGTACAGAATATTGTGAGGGGCTGAGAAGGCCTAAGATCTGCAGTCTCAGCAAGCTAGAGGCCCAGGAGTGCTGACAGTGCGACTCCAGCCAAAACAAGCACGAGATGAGGAAATGCCACTGCTCCTGACCAGAGACCATACCCAGCTTTTCTGTGGGTGCTGGAGATCCAGCCTCAGGTCTCAGGCCTGCAGAGCAAGCGCTTTACTGACAGCCATATCCCTGGCTGTGCCTTCTTCATAGCATCCTATGCTGTTGAAGGGAATGCATGTTTTTCTAAGGACATATATTTCCACCATTTGAAAATCAGATTAAATGGTGGCTCAGGCAGGCGAATCTGAGTTCAAGGCCAGCCTGGTCTATAGAGTGAGTTCCAGGACTGTCGGGGCCAAAGAGAGAACCCTGTCTTGGAAAGGAAAGATTGAGGTATTATTTACATAAACAGAATCCAACGATTACAAGTATAAAATCTAATGACTTGCAGCACACTGCTGTTAAGAGCCACCACCACACTCAAGGACAGGACACTCCCATATCCCTGTGCAGTGTCACCTCCCTACATCTATGGTCCTGGGAACCAGTGGCCTGTGTTCTCTGCTAGGCTTCCCATAGAATTTCATAAAGATGTGAGGCTTTTGTGCCTTTTGGATTCATTCATGTGGTTAGGTGCATCAACACCACTTGGATTCATTTATCCATATGGTTAGGCACATCAACAATTCACTTCTGTATTTCTGAGGTTGTCTGTCAGTGGACATTGAGTTATCTCTAATTTGGGGCTATTACTGGGGCATGGGGCCCCAATGTACACATCTGCAGACATTTGTGGAATGGAGTTTCTGGGCATGTGCTAAGTGTACTCTAAAACCTGCTTTGACTCATGTTGCCCATCCACCAGCAGTGGCTCCATGTCCTTGATGCTTCTTTGCTGCTATGAAGCAAGCTATAGATTATAACTTCCATTTTCCGATCTCTCCTCCGGGTGAGTTGATCTGGTTATCTTGGCCCGTGTCAAACAGCTCATTTATCTCACACGTCTGGCATGTTTTGTCCATGCTTATGCTTAGGGTTGAAGAACCACAGGCATAAGCTTACTGACTCAACACACATACACCTCCCTGATGCAACAACAGGTTTGTTTCTATTTATAGACCTCCAATGTCAGTTCAGTGGGATTTGAAAGGAGGTGTGTTTGGTTCACCATCAGTACCTGTAATTAACTATGCTGACACTTTAGTCCAGAGAACCAGATACTTTCTAAAACTCCACACATAGAATATGCTATGCCTGGTTTACCCACAAAATTCAAAAACAGGTTATGGCTCAGGCATACCTACCTAAAGTCTAGACAGCTAGAGCTACATAGAAACCTTGTATTGCTTACAAGGTCACCTTTTGTAGTCCACCTACCCCCCTTTCACTTAACTTGGTGTCAATTGTTTAATGATTTATATTGAACCCAGGACCTCTGGAAGAACAGTCAGTGCTCTACCTACCAGTCCCATTATTTTTCTGCATCTGATCATTGGAGGGGTGGAAAAAAACTGATCCACAGCCCAAGCATCCAGGGACTTTGTTCCCTTCATGAACACAGGTGACTCCACAGGCAGCAAACCTCACTGGTTTCTCTTCCAGCACCTCCTTCCCATGTGTTCCCTAGAGCAGCTGGGTGGGTTTCTGGTGAGTTGCAAATTTGACTCACGACCAGCATGCATGTGTACCTTGCAGTTTGGGATGGTTGTTGAACCATCATGTAGGTTCTGGAGATCAAATGCAGGGAAACTGCTAAATACACATACCACAAGATCATCTTTCTAGTAACAGTTGCATTGTTCTAAGTCCAAACACAAACAACAATTTGTGTTAACTGAAAAAAGCTTCATGAAATGTAAAACACAAAATAAAGTGATCATTAATCCCACATAGCATATTTTCTTTTGCATACCATGGTCAATGGCTGCGGTTCAGTTACAGCTTTTATAGATCCCTGGTGAAGTGTTTTACAGATCCACAAAACGAACTTTTCCTAGGGCTAGTGATTGCTGTGCACACAGGCCTCAGTAAGAAGAGCATGATTCTTCACGGCAGCCTAACCACACCCCATAGAAAAAGCGCCTTTCCTTCCTGGCTATCTTCTGAGCATGCATACAAAGTGACACCCGGGCTTTATGTGTCACAGATTTGAATATCCCCTGCCCCCCAAAAAAGTCACTTTGTCTGCTGGTTGTCACATGTTTTTTATTGAGATATTTTCTCTTGGTGCTTCTTAACTCTGGAAAAGGGAGGAAAATTCAGTCACAATGGAGAATGTACATTTAGTTACAAAGAATTTTCACCCTTTAACGAAAGCCCAGCTGCCCCCACCCCTAAGGGAGACATGCAAAGTCACTTACAGCTGGGCATTCCACTACACCACTGTTGATGTCATCAATGATGTCATGAGGGTGGCGGCCATCCACATTACAGCCCACAGACTGTGCAGTGCCCAAGATCTCTTTAATAGTTCCTGTATTAAATAATGGTAGCCTCAGCAGGTCTACTCCCTTGCAACTCTTACATCGAGGGGCAAAGGAGATTCCAGAGTTCCAGTGCAGACAAAACAAAGACTATGGCTCCATGATGACCAACTTTAAAAAAAAAATTCACATCCTGCTGCTGGCTGTTAATCATATACACCCCTAATCCCAGCACTTGGGAGGTAGAGGCAGGTGGATCGGGGTTCAGTCTAGTTTACAGAGCTAGTTCCAGGACAGCCAGGACTACAGATACTGCCTCCAAAAGAAATAAAAGGTACACTCCCATCTTGGACCTTCAACAGCAAATGCTAGCCATTCAGTGAAAATGCTCTTACCAGAAAGTTCTCTGGCTAAAGACCGGTGCCTCATCTGACGGGCAATGCCGACAATCTCATCGAAAGTGATATTTCCACTGTGCTTAACTGCAGGATAGAAAACAGAAGGGGGGTTTTGATTTTTAAATGCTTTTTGTGCAATCTTCTGATACAAGACCCTATGGTTTCACTTTACCCATTTATATTCTGTCCCCATGCTTTCGGCACAGAGTCATCCACATGTAGGACAACCCTGTTTCCTAAAGCTGGGGCTTACTCTCAGCTCACCACTGGATTGCACCAGCCAACCATACTGATCAGGTGCAGTGGCGGGGGGCTGGGGCACAAACAACTCCTCACCAGCAGCCCCCTCACACACACACAACCTTAGGAATGGAACCAACAAGTTTAAATCCCTGGGGCAAAGGGTTCGGTGTCAACAAACCCTAGGTTATGACTCTACACTTCTGCACCCAGGAGTCATGAAACAAATGGCCTCAAGTGATCGCATTTTGAACCTATGTTTCATGAAAGGGAACTACATGCAAAGCTGCAATTGGTGGAGGAGTGCCATCAACTCACTGTTCTTCTGCTTCTTCCTGTCTCTTGGCGGCTCCTTGAGGGCTTTAATGATCAGGGCGGAGGCAGAGGGCACCACCTCAATCTGCAGGAGAGATCTGCTATGAACACGGGGCCAGCTAGATAGCTCAGCGGTACTTCCCTGGACCCCACTGGTGGCATCTGGCTCCCTGGCACTTTCCCCACAACAATCAAAGCAAATACCTGGGCCTGTCTGTTCTGGATGGTCAGTTTCACTGTAATCCTCAGACCTTTCCAGTCACCGGTTGCCTTGGCAATGTCATCACCAACTTTCTTTGGAGACTGTAGAAATAATGGCATTAAATTACCACGTGTCCTAAGTTGAAGTTGTAACCCCAACTTCGAACTCTGCCTGACAGGACTCCAGCCTTCCACATCACTGCACACGGCCCGGACGACACCTTATTTAACTAAGC